TGATCAGTTTCAGCAGCGGCTGACGCCAGTTCCGACTTACATACAGATTCAACTTAAGAACAAACCTACAGTCCCTATCTTGTACGTAACCCGGGGACTGCCTGTATATAGGACCCCAGCTGTGCAAGTGCAAGAGACCCCTGTAGAACCAAGCAAAGTTCTTCTGAATTGAAACTTTCACGTTGTGTGTGTCACCAACTCAAAAATTCAGAGTAGAATCCCTGGTGCACATTAACACACTTTGAAGTTTGCAGACAGAACCTGCTTCAAATGACTTGCAAATATTTTCTTATTCCTACAAAACACCTATCAACACTTCTAATGCTGCCTACTTATGAGTCAATGGGAGCACTCTGCAGATCCAGAATTACTGCAAAGATCTGGCTTTGATGGTTTACAATACTTCTCCTCAAACAAATTCTAAAACGTAATGGAAGTCACTTGTCTGAAATCCAACTCTAACTGAAGGCCAAACAAATAAACAGTATCCATGGTTAAATTCATTGAGTTTTAATAGTTTACCATGTGGATTCTAGGTGGACACCACCAGGATAATAGTGGAGTCATATAATAGCTATAGTGCTGTTGAGGAAGCTTAAGCTTCCCTTGGGTACCTACAGCTGGACCACACTAGTGGAAGAGGCCAAATGAACAAGGAACTGCATTTCCCGATATCTGGCACAAGGAGGAAGACTTACCTGGTAGATCCTTGACATCAATACAGCCTAGGAACCGCAGTGCATCCTTATAGTAAGAGGCATGGTTCCCAATTGTCTGGTAGTACTTGCTGGAAAGGTCATAGAAACGGCTATGAACAGATGTCACCCCAGGGAGATTGTTCAGCATCTCTTCAACATCTTCTATGGTCTCCTTAAAAAAAAAAAATAAGGGGGTGGCAGTCCAACTCTTCACACAGATATTTTAAATATAAATCCATCCCTTTCACCTCCCCCATGCACTATTTTAGTCAGACTTGAAATTTAAAGACTGCCACAAATTATATTAATGCACTTGATACAAAAATCTCACCCAGAGTGAATCAGAGAGTGCAGCTGAGAACATTGGTAACAGCATTTGAAACAAAGCAAGTTAACTTACTCACTCCTAAGAAGTCTATTTATATTTACAAACACTGGCGAGTGCACTTCCCAACCCCTCAAATGTCATTTCCATTAATAATAGAACATGAATAACTGAGGGATCCCCCTTCAGCTCACTGTGATGAAAATTATTCATAACTTTGGCTAATAATTATAGAAATGCAAGATTGGAAGGGTCCTCAAGAAGTTAAAGTCATGCCATCCATGCTGAGGCAGGATCAAATAAACTTAAACCATCCCTGACAGCTTCTGTGCAGCCTGTTCTTAAAAACTCCCATTAATGGGGATTCCACAACTTCCCTTGGAAAACCCATCTGTCAATGCTCCAACCCCATTGTAATTTAAAAAAAAAAAGTTCAACTAAAAAGCTAAATAAAAGATACATAATACTCCTTAGCTATTTGCCAAACAACATACATGATGCTAAATTCAGTGCATCACCAAAAAGTTGCAGTGTGACACAGAAACATCAAGACAAGGTGACTCAAGGGTTTTTTCTAACCCTTCTCACACGTAAATACAATGACTGGCTATGGGTCACTAGTGGTGATAGTCATGCAGTAGAGGCATATGCCACTAGCATCTCAGCTAAAGGACTAAAACTAGAAGAAACAGTGTTATATGAACTATGCAAACACTCTCCATTATTCCAAATGGAGCTGGATTTCCAGGAGATTGGACTATGATGATTAAGAGAGATTACAGAGGAACTCAATTCACAAAATTCAATAACAAGCACACAAAAAGAGGGGCTGCCTCTAATAGCTAAGTGAGGCCGAAATAAATGAACATCCAGATGAACTGAGTGGGTTCAAGCAGACAGAACCTAAATGCCAACTAATCTCACCTTTGTGACCTGCAGGTCCCCAATGTTTAACTTCAAAGCTCCAATGGCTGTTTTACATAGAATCACAGCCTCATCACTACTTTTCACCTGCAACCACAACATAGTTACACATCAGAGAAACATAACGGTTCCAGCCACACATGCAACTACTGATATTAAATTAGCATAACTTGTGATTTAACTAAGGTTGTGTTTCTTGTGGTTTTCCCACATCAAATTCATATTCACAGAGAATTATATGTCTTGAAAAATGCACCTTCACCAATATAGCCATAGATGTAAACATGTCTGCCTACACAGCCCTACATATAGACGTAAAATGTATCAGCCATTTTACTTAACTGTGCCTACAAGAAAAAAAATGGATTTCACAAATACCTTTTCTCGAGTCTTTTCCAGGAAAGTAAGGGCCACATTGGGATCTAACATGGAGCAAGAAAAAAAGACCATATTTAGGATCTAAGCAGCAGAATATTTGAACCTACCAGAAGCACCTTAACTGGCTCTCCAGAACTCAGAGCTAGATTCTCTGGTGGTAAGAGCCATCATACCTCTACTGAAAAGTTATCTGGTCAAACATTATGTTCAACCAGTTAACCAATTAAAGAGGCTTAGGCAGGAGGCCCCTCTCCAGTCCCATGGTGCTGGAGTTGCCCCCTCCCAAGGCCAGGCTGGATGTCCCTCCTACACAATAGGCAGGGAGTTGCTCCAGCCACCAGTTAACCAAAATTGGTAAGCACCACCCAAGGGTGATGCTCACTTATAAACCTTTCACATAGCTGGTATGAATCAGCATTAGCAGAGGATCTGGCACCATAAGCATCACCCATCTCTCTAGCAAGAGTCTTTTCTGCAACAGCAATTTGACCATTAGCAGTAAAATTCTATAAGTTTATGCTTTTTACTCTCGGTATTGTGCAAACCAACTGCCTCACTCATATTGAAGTCTTAGCTGTTGCCAGCAGCCAGTTAAATCCTATCAGCCCTAAAAAGTCACCATTAATACTAGAAAAGTTACTCACCTGTCATCTGTCTAACTACATGAAGAATGATCTCTACCAAAGACAAAGGGTTCACCCTGAAATGAACACCACAGCATCAGAAAAGTTACAATTAAGAGTGCACAAATGACAAACTTACATACAAGTAGCCAGTCTCACCTGTGTTCAAACTCACTGATGAAATTCTCATAAAGCTGCAGGCAATAAAAAAAATTGACAGCCAGTTAGTGACAGGAGAATATTTCATTATAATGAACTAGGCAACTTGCCCATCACTGCACATAAAACTCCCTCAAATAAAGTAATTTTGTATCCACAGATGGAAAAGTCTAAAGCATATTGACACTAGACTTCAGAAGTTAAAAATTGCCAGAGTCTCCTCCTAACAAACTGTGGAGGTTGATTCACCAATTAATAGATTCATGAGCGACAAGTTGGTACAAAACTAGTCTCTACCAAGAGTGGATTACCTTGGCATGTTCACTCCTCTCTGTTATGAAGGACAACTATTCCACTAAGTAGCTATATAGTCAATAGATGCATGGCTCTTTTGGCATCTCTACACTCCTCTCTAAACATGAATAGCTCATTAATTTCAATATCTATTTGGTGAATCAATTTGATATAAAATGCAAAGGAGAGAAAAATGAGATGTAAGTTCACGGATCTGTGAGCTGCATTCTTAAAGATGACAATAAACCCAACTTGGAACAGAGGAATGAAATCTGCACGGATACCTGGAGTTTGTGCACTCTCAGGAAAATCATTCTGTGTGCATACACAGTTAACCTTTGTTGACAAGGCTGAAGACTGGCCTTTTTTAAAAAATAAGGTGAACCAAATTAAGACCTGTGAAAACTTGAAACTCTTCTAATTCCATTCCTCAGATTAAGTGCCATCATTTTATGTAATCCATTTCTAGCTTTAGAATTTTTATAAAACATGGCCAGATTAAACCAAAACCTGCATATAAGATCCAATCCATAAACTTCTAAAACTAATACATTGTATCTGTTTGTTGACATTTATACTCAGACCTTTCCAGACACACATGGTGTGCAGTTAGGAAGCTTAAAGCATGTTTTCTGATTTCACAATGCTTTGGGGCAGGCCTCCACACACTTATTTGATATCAGCCTAAGAAAGTTCATGCTATTCACTAACACTTGCTTAAGAATTAACCAACTCACCTTGATGAGTCCATCTCCTTTAGCAAAGCAGGGGTCCTGCACAAAGTCCAACACCTGCAGAGTAAGCTGGTGCCAAAGTCTGAAAAAAACAAAAACAAGGAGGCCCCTGACATTAGCAAGCATGAGTGCAATAAGCAAAAAAAATAGACACCTACTGAAATACTGAGGCAAACACTATATAACTAATTTCAGCTAATCTATAAGGACCAATTTAAAGGCTCATTTATGACTCAATTTGCCTGTGGTTCAGAAAAAAGGTCAAGACCTCAACTGGCCAGGGCCAGCAGAATGAAGCTTAAAACTATTCTAGACCAGACTTCATTTTAAAAACCCTTTCCTCATGCACAGATCAGAGGAATAATAAAAACCTGAGTGCTGCTTTCTGAAAAAGTTCTCAAAGAGAATCAGCAGTATAAATCAACCCTCATGACATCTTCTTACCAGTGACGAAACAAGTAGCAAGAAATCAAAAGGAAAACACCAATGTCTAGCCCATTTTCAAAACACTCGTCAATTACTTTTTAAAGACTGAAGTATGGGTTTCAGGTTCTTCAATCTGACATTTTTTGTTGTTTCAACAATTTAATTTTAAAATATAGGAAAATGTGTGTCTCTGTCTTTGCTATGAGCAAAGATGACAAACAAATGAACATCAATAGCACCTAAACAATGAAACCATATATGAAGTGTGGTCAGAACAAAACTGAAAAAACATCTCAAATTTGCTATAATTATCACACATGTTTCCTGTAACTACTATAAGTAAAAAGACACCAACTAAGACCGTGGGCGGCTTTACATTAAAGGTCTCTTTTAAATTGGAGATTAACTGAACAGCACAGGGTCACATAACTACAAGGGGGACTGCATGACTTGAGCATCACTATCAGGGAGTTTCCAACTCTCTTGCGCTGACTCCTAACAACAAAAATTACTGCATGACCCCAGACAGGGGACTGGAGCCTGAGCCTACTCATAGTCCCGAGCTGGGGCAGCAAACCTGAAGCTTTTGGTCTCGGCCCTGATGCCCAGCAAGCCTAACACGAGGATAACTACAAGGGGGACTGCATGACTTGAGCATCACTATCAGGGAGTTTCCAACTCTCTTGCGCTGACTCCTAACAACAAAAATTACTGCATGACCCCAGACAGGGGACTGGAGCCTGAGCCTACTCATAGTCCCGAGCTGGGGCAGCAAACCTGAAGCTTTTGGTCTCGGCCCTGATGCCCAGCAAGCCTAACACGAGGCTTGGCGACCTCATTAAAATGGGATGCCCCCCCCCCCCCCCCCCGGCAGGC